TTTGGCCTGATACCACAGTGCGTCAGATGGGTACTCCGTCATGGTTGTGTCATTCAGGTGAATCCAGTAGACATCCAACCAGCGACAATGTACAGCTCGCATCTGCCAATCACCAACCTGCGACCGGCACACTTCATACAGGTCATGCATCCGTGAAGCCTTGTACAGGTAACCACAGTTTTGTTGCGATGGCCCCGCCTGAGATTCAGTGGAACCCCTTGAAGTGGCCCTGCAGTTTTGTTACTGATGTTGCCTCTGATCCCCCAACAACCAAAGGGATCGTGCCAAAACAGGATCACACTGCACACCATACTGTGCGCATGACACACTCACATGCAACTGCTTTAGCCCCACACGATAAGACTTTTGCAGTTTGTCTTGGTGTTGATGTCTCCGATCATTCACGCTTTTTGGCTGTGTTGGCAAAAATCCAATTGCACATGGATAGGTTCCCATCCAATGCACAAAAGGTGCAACAAGAGGGCCCACATGTGGATAATGCTGATGAACACATTTCTCCATCTGGTACCCCGTGCATGCCACATCAATGCCCGGCACACCAGACTTTGCAACAACAGTGGATCAGGTCCGAAGATACCGGCCACCAGTTCACCAGTAAAGTTTGCACTGACATTCCTGCCTACCTGCCAAGCCATTGCGTTTTTAATTCGGATAGTCCTGCACAGTTGAGTGTACAGACCCGTCAAGCCAGGCCGCCAAGTGATGACCTAAATAAAACTGTCCTGATGCCACAGTCCCAGCCTCATGAATTGGTCATGCACAGTTTGCGTCCACTTGCCCGACCGCTGCCACCACGCTCCCGGAAGGTCACCAAAGATCGCAGGAGCTGTGATCTCCCTACCTTTCACTGCCGATTGGAGCATGAGAGCCCCATTGCAGCATTTGCGGCTAGGCTTCCTGAGGATGCCGCGCAAGGCAACCATGAACAGCATGACCATCAGCCAAATGTTCCCGTCCAACCGGCATTTGTGGACGACCTGTCCACTCGTCTTGCTCGCATGGGTTACAATGTTTGGGATGCTGACTTTGATGTCCCTGTCAGAACCTGGTACATAGACCATGCCACCATCCGTCGATGGACTGCGCCACGGAATCTGCAACTGGTAGGTCCGCCACGTGGATGGGAGGCACAATTCAGCTCTTTGTGGGTGGACCAGATTAACCCTGATGAATGGTTTGATGTCACTGTCATTTATCCTGACCCCCCAAGGACAGCAAGAAACAGTTTCATCATAATGGATCTGGTTGTCACACAATCCCTTCAAATGGACCGGTTCCCTGGATTAATCACGGTTTTTTCCACACACCACGTTGCATTTGAAATGTTTTCGGTTGCTGCATCATTTGAACCTAGAGTCAGTGGGTTTGAAATTGCTCAAGCTGCCGATGCTGCAGATATGTGCCGATATCAAGAGTGTACTGTTACCTTCGGCTGGCAGGAAATTCCGTTCACACTCCGTCCACAACATGTGATGGCTCATGGGGACGGTTTCCAACTTGCTGTTAGCCACCAATTGGTCCGGTTAATGGGGTCGTCAACTTCACAGGCAGGATCCACCGCTGAGAGTTCCACGGCCCGTGATGTCCAACCAAGGGTATCTGACCAACACATGCCAGAGCAGCTGCATGACGTCAACCCTGCGCAGAGGTTCATGACACCGTTGCATGTTTTCCAACTTGAAGGCCACGAAGTTGTCCTCCAATTGGTCAATGCACAGTTAGCGCAACCGACCAATGCAATGGCCCAAGCATTGCATGTACCATTCAACTGCATTGAAGCCTTGCACATCATGCCGATTGCACCAGATGGATTCCCAGAATTAGCCATCCCAGCCATTGTTCAAAGAGTCGGTGACATTGACCTCCATTCCACAGACAGGTTGATATTGATTGATACCATTTATCATCATCACCCGAGCCCGTCAGGTTTGTTGGATCGCCCAACTGTGGTCAGGACCGTTCAGAGGGTCTCCTGTCAAGTCACCCGCCAACAAATCCTATTCAAAGCTGCGGTTTATCACTACTGTCAGTTTTTGCAGGAAGGGTGTGCAGTCAGCCTTGATGGCTATTTATGGCCCATCAATCATGTGGATCCTCGCCCTGTGACGCACGGATCATATGCCACTGTTGATGTTCCACCACCCTATGGCACCCAGCTTGATACCCAAATGGTGGCTAACCAGCTCCACGACAATGGAACCATGAACACCATGATGAATTGGTTAACTGAGCCTGATGATTTACCTGACGATGCCATGCAACTCATGCAAGTTGGGGTCACCAAAAGGGCAGTTGGGACCATGACCAAGTATCACTTACGGAGGGCTTGCCAGCAGTATCCCCTCCCAGCAGATGCCGATGTAGTTGATGACTTCAAGTCCCCTACCGTCAGCCGCAATGAACCGTCTGACAACAGGTCATCGATTGGTCCTGTGTCCAATGCCATTGAACCGTTTGCTGAGGAAGCACCCAGTACGACGAGGTGCGCACACAATGCAGTTCAGTTCAAGGTGACCGACCCTGCAGACCCAATTGTGCACATCGACCCAACACCTAAGCCAGTAGGTCAAACGAAGTTGCACCAGTTTTTCAAACGTAGCCAAGGCATCCAGCTTGGCAAGAAAAAGCCGTTAGGTAAAGGCCAAACCACTCTGCATGCATTTTTCCCAAGTGCCCGCGGTACCCCAGGTACAGCGCCCACAACTGCCCATACTGGACCTGAGGTCCCCACGGACCCCTCTCCAGCAGATGGAAATGCATGCACCGCAGAGACTGTTGTACAGAAGGCTGTCGATCACAAATGCTCCGCCAGCCAGGAAAGGGACCCGCCAGTGCTTACCACATCGCTTCCAGTGCAGCCTGCATTACCTAATCCAGAGCCCAGACCGCGTCCTGCATGGCGCATCCATCTTGCCAACATTTTTGATGAGCTGGCTACTGTCATTCACAGAGAAACCGGCCCAGTAATGCAAGTGGAAGTGTGGTATATCCACCACCAGAATTTCCCGGAGTGCCTGGCCCCTCGTGCAATTGAGCTGGACAATATTCAGGAACTGTGGTATGCTGACCTCTGCAACCTATGGTTTGACCGAATACAACGACATGAGCCCATGCGTGTGGTCAACGTTTTGCCAGCACCTCCGCACCAAGCTCGGCCTCGGTCAGCAGCACACATCATCTTGGAACAAGGTTTCACCCCTGACAGGATTGCAGTTCATTTCACTGCGGTCTTCTTGGGTGGCACCTACCTTGGATTGTTCCAGCGTGTAGAATCCTCGCCTACGAGACTCTGCACCAGAGATATGATTGTGAAGCATGGATTCCAATTGCAGTGTGATTCCCGCCCATGCAACATGCATTCAGGCTATATCAGATTTGCTATGGATGAGAGGGAAGAACTTTTCTCAGGGATATGCGTGGTCTTGACGGTGGCCCCACCGCCACCAGAGCCTTTTCCTGTCCAAACACAGATTGATGCAGGGCGCCCGGCCCTGCACGACCAAGAACCAGCTCCAGATGCACACGCATTGATGCAACAAAACATCCAGCCTAAGCGACCGCCTGCAGGAATCCGTCCTGCTGATCCTCCTGCAGTTAGTGTACATAGCCCTGCACCAATGTTTGACCACCGCATTACACCTGCTGCACTTACGGAGTTTCGAGCCACATTGATGTGGCAGTTGGGCATCCAAGCTGACCAATGTCACCTCTCCCCGGAATACCCATTGCAGGTCCACACCTGGTATCTCAACTCTGATCGCTGCATCCGCACTGAGGAGTCCAGAGATGTCCAATTGCGTCTACAACCACACACATGGCATCTGGACATAGTCGAACGTTGGGTTGACAGACTGGATCCATTATATCCGGTACACCTGCATGTGGTTACTCCTAACCCACCAGGCCGATCACTCACACCGGAAGCGCATGTGATTGTTCTGCAGAGACCAAATCCGCTTTGGAGGAGTGCACTGCTCACGGTCTTGCAGCCACGTTCCGACCCATGGCACCTTCAATTTGTGTGTGCTATGTTAGATGCGGAAACCTCCTTGGAACAGCTGGGGTTCATCTCGGGGGTCACTCATCCGTCTAACCCAGCTGCACATGCTTCAGGGATCACTGCCAAACAAGGCCAAGCTCAACTGCACAGTGATGGTACGTTGCCGGTACGGCATGGATATTGGTTTGACATCCAGGCTTACAGTTTGTCAGATCATATTGACGATGAAGTGGCCACCATTCAGCTGCAATTCACCACCATCCGAAAGATTATTGGTGACCTACAGACTAAGGTGAGCCGCACGGCCAAAGCCTCCATGTCTCCGGAGACTGTTCAACCAAATCAGGACATGCCAACAGCCTTAACAGTCATTGTCCACCCCAATGACCCAGGCACATATCTCAACCCCTTTGAAGCTCTCCCATTTTTCACTGCACTTCAATCGCACTGGCAGCCATTGGCCCTACTGCAGCCACCAGAATTGCCTGCGCTTGTACCGGTCATAACCTGGTACATCGACCACATTCGATTCCCCCAATGTTTTCAACACCGGCTTGTTCTTTTGAACCAAAATCCGGCTGATTGGATTCAGCGTTTGCGCAGTGTATGGATTGACTTGATCTTGCCCCAGCAACAGATGCAGGTTCACATTGTACAGCCGCATCCGCCAGAAACTCCGATGCATGTAGCAGCTCATCTCATTGTTGTACAGCAACCCATTGAAAGGTTCCGTGCGGTACTCATCACCACTTATGATTCAGCACTGCCTGATGAGCCGCCAACCAACCATGCCTCCATCACACCAACCCCTGTAGCCTTTTCCACAGTGGTTGCGTTGGCATACAGGGACACGGTCTGCCAGCACCCTCAGGTCGATTGCGTGGTGTGGGTTGGTGAAGAAGAGCTCCCACAAGCACAAGAACGTCAGGTCATCAATGGTCACTCACTGGTTGTGGCAGTACATAGGCACTTTCCGCCCATGCCAGCCGGCAATGGTGAATTGGATTTGAGCCATAAGCATTGTCCTTCTATGCCAAGACCCCTTCAATCCCCACAGGATGTTGCCAAAAAGGAGTGTGCGCCCGCCGTTCAGCCCCCAGAACAACGGGTGACCTTGAGCCTGGAAGCCGTTTTGCCGCCACACAGCCCTGACCATACGTGGGATGATCGGAAGCCTCAGCTTTTATGGTTTGCCAATGAAGCATGGCTATTCAAGCTGTCCAGGGCCCCTCCGTGCAAACTACATCCCCTGCCTGAGGGATTACGTCTACCGGACGTTTGCTACTGGCCCCTCATTCATCCCACTCCAGCTGATAACCCTGCCCACCAGTTGACACTCTACCTGGATGGAGCGGCAAATGGCACCCATGCTGCCTGGAGTGTTATTGCCACCATTAACCTGCCCATCGGAGAGGTCTTCATCGGTTGCATGTACGGATGTGTACATCTTGAGCCTGACAACACCCAATGGATTGGGGCTGATGCCATGGATAACATTGCAGCAGAGCTCTCAGCCATGGCCATGGCACAAACCTGTGCTCTCCGCTGGCCCTACAGTGATCACCTGATATGCATACGTCCAGATTTGTCCTTGAGCCGCACAGTTGCCAACGCCATCACTACATGCCGATCCAACGCCTGTCTTGCACAACTCTGCCGCATTCAAGGCTTATGGCTCACAGCAAGGACTGAGATCTCTGAAATCAGAGGCCACCAGGGCCATGCCTGGAATGAACTTGCGGACGCAGTGGCGAAATGGGCCCTGATCCAGGGATCGCACGACGCTGAACCCAGTCTAGATGCTCTCCATGAATTTGCATTGCAGACACATGATGTTGCCTGGGCATGGATGCAAACCACGCATCCGGCGCTCTCTGCTTGCTTCCCAAGCCTCATTGACCAACAAGTAATGCAGTTTGACTCCTCCGACATGCGCATCCAGCAGACCCTTGTGCGGCCTGAGCACAGTGGCAGCCTGAGCCAGAGCCATGCCCAATGGACCATGACTGTCATTACTGCGAATGTACTGGCCGCTGAGGTTTGGAGTGTACAGCCACAGGGGTCCAGAAGAACTGGCCAACGCACCCTCCGTCTTGACAATCAATGGCACAAGCATGGGGCGCACGTCATTGGCGTGCAAGAAGCGCGCACAGCAGCTGGGCAATATCATTCACCACATTACCGTATATTTGCGTCCGGAGCCACTGTGGCCAGAGCGCCACTATATGGTTGTGAATTGTGGTTACATAAAACTCAGCCCATTGCCAAAGATGCCCAGGGCAATCCCATCACCCTGGGTGATGCCACGGTCTCCATCCGCCATGCAGACCCCAGACGTCTAGTTGCCGTAGCAAGCATTGGCCAAGTCCACTATACCTTTGTAGTCTTGCATGCGCCATGCCAAGCCACCCAGAGCGTGGAAACTCAGCCCAATGGGGACGTAGTAGCCGAATGGTGGAACACCACCAGTGCCATATGGAACAACACCGTCACCACTGACATGTGCTGGCTCATGGTGGACGCAAATGCACCAATTGATGGAGAACATGGTTGCCACACGGGGCCCCTAGGGGCTGAAAACCCTAGCAAAGCAGGCACAGCCTTCATGCAATTTTTAGCCGGCAACGATCTTGCCGTCCCCAGCACCTTCCCGCACATCCATGAAGGGCAGACCACCACATGGTCGCATGCCACTGGAAAGCGAAGTCGTAAGGATTATGTTGCCATCAAAGCCCAGATGATGCCATTGGCCATGCACAGCTGGGTGGACATTCATCATGACAACACCTTTGCACACGCCGACCATTTGCCGGTAGTCCTGGCATGCAAGGGCTGGCAACAGCTCCACTCCTGTGCTCCCAGTTTCCGATGGGATGCAGAAAACTTTTGGACCCACAGTGCTGCCAGGACTTTCAGCATGCCCTTAGTACCCTGCCGATCCCACACTGGCATGTTGATGTTGACGATCATGCAGCCATCCAGGAAAAGCAAATTTTGCACCTCGGCCAACAGTTTTTTGCCAAACCCCCACGACAAACGCACAAAATCAAGCTGCAGCCCGACACCCTTGCGATTATTGCCCTCAAGCGACAAGCACTGGACTATGGCAGGGCCCAACAGGAGCTGAACTATCCACCCTTTAAGGAAGAGCTCCGGCAGTTGGAGAAAATGGTCCGCTGCAAAGTCCGCAGAGACACGCAAGCCTTCTATGATGCCCTCTTAGACCGGCTGGATCATGCAGGGGAGCTCCACAATCATCGCCTTGTGTACCAGCTGTTGACAAGGCTCGGCAGGAAAAAGGGAGGCAAGGCACCCGGGCCAAGGCCCCTTCCCATGCTGAAGAAGGAAGATGGCACATTTGCAGCCACATATGATGAACAGCAACGTATGTGGATGACGCAATTTGCGGCCGTGGAAGCCGGTGTCCCGTGTAGCTGGGCCCAGCTGCAACAGAAGCACCGAGCTGAAGCTGAGGATCTCAGAGTGACTCTCCCAGATATTGATCCAACGGCCTTCCCAACGGTCTGGCAAATACAAGGTCTCCTCTCCAGATTGAAGCGAGACAAAGTGCCCGGGCCCAACCACTTGCCCCCGGCACTCCTCAAAGCAGGAGGAGAAGTCATGGCAAAACATCTCACCATCCTCTTCACCAAAGCAGCTGCTGCTGCTCGTGAACCCCTGCTATGGAAGGGTGGCACATTGATCCCACTGTGGAAAGGCAAAGAAGCACCGGATTTACCAACCGCATATCGAAGCATCTTCGTGTCCAACTATTCGACCAAACTTTATCACCAGTTTGTCAGGCAACGTTTGGTAGCAGTTTGGGAGCCGAAGGCTGACCATCTCCAATGCGGTGGCAGGAAGGGAGTAGGGGTCGATATTGCGCACCACGTGATACAATGCCAGCAAGCATGGGTCACAGCCAACGCAACACCATCGGCCATCCTCTACATCGACCTCAGGGCAGCCTTTTACACGGTGATTCGGCAAACTTTCACCGATCTGCCCTGCAAAAACCAAGCATTCATGCAGGCGATGGCCACCCTTGGCGTTCCATTGCAGGACATTGCAACGCTTCTGGCAGCGGCTGAAAAAGAATGTGTGACCGAGGGCCTCTCGGCACACCTCCAAAAGGTGCTACATGACATGATGACAAACACATTTTTTACCATCCCTGGCCTCCAAGATCCGTGCCACACCACCAGAGGCACGCGCCCAGGAGACCCAGTGGCAGACATCCTGTTCAATCTTTGCATGACCAGCTTGCTGAAGAGCTTTCGCAGTTGCCTAGCACTTCAGTGTTCCATCCCATGGTTAGGTGGTGAGGCCCCGGTTCAGGACTACACTGTAGCTGAACCCATGCCAGCTGAAGGGTTTATCGATGTAACCTTCGTGGACGACTGTGCCATGCTTGTCCATGCTCCCACCAACCAGCGCATTGAGGAGGTCATTAAAGCCCTGGTCACCTGTTTTGACCAAGCGGCCCAGTCCAGAGGATTGCAGGTAAATTTCGACAGAGGCAAAACCGAACTCCTTTGGAATATTCTGGGCAAAGGAGCAAAAGCCACCAAGCATGCGCTGTACTCCCAAGGCAACACCCTCCAGTGGGAACAACAGGGTCACACGTACCGGCTGCACGTGTGTCACGCATACAAGCATCTAGGTACCTGGACCCAGACCAAGCACAGACATGCCAGAGAAATCCTAGCACGAGCCAGTGCTGCGCGCCAGCAATGGGGCCAATTGGCACGCCCTTTTTTCCGAAGATCACTGTCCCTGGCCACCAGGGTTAGAGTTTTCCAAGCCATTGTAGTCTCCAAGATGCTTTACAATGTGCATACATGGGCGGGCATCAAGCCAGAGGAGCTTGCACACTGGAACAATCACCTCAGAGGACCCATCGCATTACTGATGAAAGGGGTCCTAGCCCCACAGCGCAAATTTCGGCACCCTACTGACACTTTGAGTGCATGGTGCGGCATACTGCCCTTGCCACAGCAGGTGCACCTCAACAGGCTTCGATTTGCCAAACGCTTGTTCCAGCGATGCCCAGCCGTCACATGGAGGTTGCTGAATGCCCACCAAGGGCCCACCTCCTGGCTAGCTGCCTTCATGGACTCCTGTAGTTGGATGAAACGGCACTATGACAAGCCGCATTTGCTCCCACAAAACCAATGCCTTCAGTCCTGGATCCAACACATTTGCCTTGACGATCACTGGAAGGGAAGGGTTCGCAAAACTGGAAGACTGGCCCTCCACTACAACACGGCCCAAGCAGAACATGCGATTTGGCAGCATAATTTTGAGGCCACAATGCAGCAGGCAGGTGCCACTTTGCCAGAAGACCCAGTGCCGTTTGCCACCCCCGACCGGTGGCAATGTGATCTGTGCTCAAAGGTCTTTACCAGTACCCGTGCCTTAGCCATGCATGCCAGCAGAGATCATGGATATCGCAAAAAGGTACGCTACTTTGCAGCTGGAGCCACTTGCCATGTTTGCAATACCCTGTTCCACACGCGCAGTCGCCTTGCCGTGCACTTTGAGCACAACACCAGATGCTACGAGGTGGTCCAGGCCTGCCGGCCACCCATGCCAGAAACAGAGGTCACCCAACTTGACCAGGCAGACAGGCTAACCGAAGCCTCCCTCCGAAAGCAAGGTTGGTGGGCAACAAAAGCGTTTTTGCCGGCAGTCAAAACCTGCGGCCCATCGCTCCCTCCAGGAAGTGATCCGGCCAGTGCACGGATGTTTCAGAACATGTTAACCCGCAGGCCAACAGATGCAGCTGCCTACCATCAGTTGCAAGGGCGCAGGGTCTCTGCTGCACCAGCAAATGCCCCTAGCCTGTGGTGGCAAAACTCAGACCTTCCCGCATTCGTGATGCATTCCCCCCAGGGGATTGATGTGGGGGGCGGAGCATTCATGATGGGAGGCTTAGCCAAAGAGGCGGCCATGCTGCACATCCGTGCGCTTGTGGTCGTGCATTTCTTTTCAGGTTTCCGTCGCGACCATGACATTCATCAGATTGTCGAACAGCACAACCTGGAACATGCCACACAGCTCTTCGTGCTGTCGGTCGATTTATGCATGCAAAGACAGCATGCAGACCTCGCCACACACAAGTCACTTCAGTGGTGGAAGCAACGAGCGAAGTCTGGACAGCTCGTATCAATCGGGGGCGGCCCACCTTGCGAAACGTACACGGCAGCAAGGCAGAATGACGGGCTAGGCCCTAGGCCTGTTCGATCGGCCACAGAACCCCAGGGCCTGCCGGGGCTAACATGGAAGGAATGGCAACAAATCCACATCGGAGACAGGCTCTTGCGCTTCATCCTCGAGATGCTCCTCCTGATGTCCATCCTGGGCTACAGTGGCTTTATCGAACATCCTCAGTTTCCTACGTGGGAGACCAGCCACAGCCTGACCAGTATCTGGTGCTTGAAAGCGATCCGATTGATGAAAAGGCTCATGTGTGTCAGCCTAGTTTCGTTCGATCAGTGCGTCTGTGGCGCAGCAGGTCGCAAACCGACCACGCTCCTCCTGGTGCGCCTGCCGGCCATCCGAAAACGCCTTCTTCAGCTGGGTAACTCTGGCAGATGTCACCACGCTGCCGGAACACATCAAGCGCTGATTGGGAAACAGCAGGACGGCTCCTTCCAAACGGCCAAAGCCAAAATTTACCCTGCCCTCATGAACGAGATCATTGGCAAGGCAATGCATGATTTTGCCCTGGGGATGGCGCATCCGAGTCTTGCCACGGACCTCCCCCAGGAATTAGAAGTGTACACAGTGCAGCAGTTCATGGACCGTACAGTCGTCCAACCCGACTACCACGGGAGTTAGAGCTGAACTGCCAGGTGGACACTTGTTTGCAGTGCACGCAGACCAAGTGCCAACACGGCACAGCAGCAGGAAAGGAAAAAGGGGTAGGTCAACCACCAACCAGTCATCCATCGAAAATCTCAAAATATGAAAATCTGCTGATTGATTCCATGGCAAGAGCTGCCGATTGACGTGCCATAAAGAATGTGTGGATGATGGCGCGCCGGTCATTAGATCCTGTAGTGAAAATCATCAAACTCAATGGATGTGTCACTGTAATAGTCTATACATATTACCCTCTGGTAAATTAACATAGACCCTGGCAAATAGGACTTGGAAAATTAGTTTCCATTAAAAACGGGTTATTTTCAGGGTCTATGTTTATTTACCAGAGGGTATCAATGGGAATTTCAGGATCCAATACATGGAGGTACGTTAGTACCATATTTTTGGGCATATTTTCTAGGGATATTCCTTGAAATTTAGGCTTGAAAAATAGGCCTTAACTTATATGTGGTAGGTACCTCCAATGAATCGGTTCCTGAAATGGCCATTGATATTATCAGATACCCTCCGGTAGACTGACAGTTTGCTATTGAACATGGCCATAGAAATAGTGGATTTACCCAGCAAAAATGCTATCCCAGAGATTGAAAATGGCCAACTATTTTCCCAGTAATTATATTATTTCAGATCCCCCCAAAATGGATCAAAATCCCCAAAATGGCCATATTTTTATGGGGAAATGTGGCAATTCATCTGGCAATTCATCAGTGACAAATCGAAAAGCTGGATGAATTTCTGCCGGGAGGTGTCCCGCAGCGTCTGGAGCTTGGATAGCTTGGATCGAACTGGGGAAATCGTTACATCGAACTTTAGTCATTGAGTTTTTTACATATGGGGAGACAATGGGAATAGATATGATGGGAGATTATGGCTAGTTGATGGTTTTAAAATGTTTTAAGCACATTCGATGAATATAGCATGATATATATATATATACCCTCTGGTTATGACTAACATAGCCATGGTATAGATGGCCTATAGAAATAGATGGTTTACCGAACCAAAAAATGGGGATTTTCCATGGCCATGTTAGTCATAACCAGATGGTAACTGTTTTTTTTACATATGGGGAGACAATGGGAATAGATATGATGGGAGATTATGGGATATGATATAGGATTTATCAATCTTTTGATGGAATAGAGGTTTCCAAAGTCATGCGGGTACCCCCTTGCATCATCCAAGTCATGGATGACCATGCTTAGTATTGAAACAAGCATGGTGACGACTGGGGATCCATGACTTAAGAAACCCAGAAATGTGTGTTCTCCCAAGCCATCCCAATTTTTCTACCCCAGTAGTCATCCCAAGAAATTCTCATCCCAACTATTATCCCAGTAATGATATCATTCCTGTCAATAGCCATTTCAGGAACCGATTCATTGGAGGTACCTACCACATATAAGGCCTGTTTTTTAGGCCTATGTAAGGGAATATCCTAGAAAATATGCCCTTATATGGTACAGTACTTCCATTTTAGGATAGTGAAATTCCTGTAATCATCCCAGCACAGAAATAGTTTCGTGATTAGATGCATTCAAAGCCTATGTAATCGTGGAGTACTTCACCTGGATCAAGACAGTCGGCTATTCAATTGTGAAACACATTTGAATAACCGAGCTTTATAAATGGATAGAATATACGGACCCAATTATGTAGACTAAGCAATTGATTTGAAGTCTTGGAGTCAATAGGCAAAAACACCCAAAAACACGTATATAATATATGTGTATATATATAATATAATATATGTGTATATATATAATATAACATATGTATATATAATATAACATATGTATATTTAATATAATATATGTATATATAATATATGTATGTATGTTAATAGAATATATATATAATATATGTATATATTATCTATGCATATATGATATATGTATCTGATATAGTCATTTGTATATATATAATTACATATGTATCTATGTATATATATATGTATACATGTATATATACATATATATCCACACACATATATATATATATGTATACATATATATATATGTATACATATATATATATATATACACATGTATACATATATATATATGTGTGTATGTATGTATGTATGTATGTATGTATGTATCTATGTATCTATGTATGTATGTATGTATGTATGTATGTATGTATGTATGTATGTATGTATGTATGTATGTATGTATACATATATCTGTATATATGTGTGTATATATATACACATATACGTATACATATATATATACATATGTATACATATATATATATGTACATGTAGATAGTAACCCCCAAAAAGATAGAAACACCATTGACCACATTTTGGCGGGAGCTTACTTTTCTTCACTAATAAAGCAAGCAACTAATCCTTTCCATTCTCATTGTTTACCTGGTTCTTACTATACACACATTCTAAATGAAGAGTTCATATATTTTCTGGATAAATTATCACGACCTCACTGCGACGTTACTGGAATGATGGTTAGGAACGAGAATCATCCGAATATAGGCTTCTTTCAGGTTAGAGTTATTTGGCATTTTTTGGCTCATACTATGTTATAATATATACCAGTAATATTAGTATTATTCATGATATACTATATTAATATTAGTGTATAGTATTATTAATATTAATATCAATATTTATTAAATTAATGATATACTATATCAATATTAGTATTAATATTTATTATATAGTATATTAATATTAATATTCAGGCACCCAAAAATTGGTGCTTTGAGCTTTGATCCATCCCCTTCAGATGCCAATTTACGGTGCCGAGGCGCCACCCGATACCCTGGAGAAGCTGCAGACCATCACCTATGCCGAGGACAACTTTGGCGACGAGGCGAGGGAGCGAAGCCGAAGCGAAGCCGGAAGAACTGCCGAAAAAAAACTAGGAAGGACATTTTATATATAACTATTTTACCATAATATGTCTATATATATATCTATATATATATATGTATATATATATAAATACATATATATATACATATAAATACATAGGGTAATTTTTGACAACCGGATTTTCAGCAGTCATGGAGGTTTCCGTTTTGTCTAGGGGGGTACCCCCTTGCATCCAGTCGTCATGGCGATGACGATTGGGGAGCCCTGACTGCAGGAGGGTAAGACCTATCCCTCAGAGTGTGCCATTTGCCTTGGGAGCTGGGAGCCAGAGGATGTGATCAAGGCGCATCTGTAGCTGGTTGATGTTTCTGTTGAGTGTATGTAGTTGATATAGTTGACATAATTGTTGATGTAGTTGATGTAGTTGATATAGTTGATATAATCTGGTTGGTGGTTTGGAACATGGCTTTTATTTTTCCATTCAGTTGGGAATAATCATCCCAACTGACGTTCATATTTTTCAGAGGGGTTGAAACCAGCAACCAGATTATGATCTATATCCTAATTAAATCTTGTATCTCATTGTATATCCCAATGATATCCCCATGATATTCACGTGATGTTTGGTCAAACCCCCATAATTGTTGCATTTTTCTCTGTTGATTTTTTCTTTTGAATCTGGTCAGATGTCCCAACGCCACTGCTTGGGATTCATGGTACGAGGCTACCGTACCTGGGTGGCTTGAGAGCCATTGTACCATCCGGTGAAGATAGCATGTCTTTAATGTAAACTAATACTTCCAACCCCTATTTGGCAGGGTCTATCTTAATTTTGGGCAGGGTATATATATATATATGATTTACCATCATTTATTCGGATTTTACAGTTCTACCAGGGGTGACCAACATTTTTTTTTGGGATGACCCGAGTCCTGAATCAACCACTGCATTTTTTATGGTTGCTGGTGTATATGTATATGTATAATATGTATGTCATGTAATGTAATGTAATGGAATGTAATGGAATGTAATGGAATGTAATGGAATGTAATGGAATGTAATGGAATGTAATGGAATGTAATGGAATGTGTGTATGGTATGGTATGGTATGGCATGTAATGTAATGTAATGTAAATGTAATGCAATGCAATGTAATGCAATGTAATGTATGTATATATGTACATATACATGTACATGTACATATACATATATATGTATATGTATATGTTGTATATATGTATTGTATATATATATATTGTAAATGTATATTGTATGTAAATATATGTATATATACATGTATATATATATGTATATATATATGTACGTGTATATGTATATGTATATATATATATGTTTATAATATGTATATGTATATGTAAATGTATATGTACATGTATATGTATATGCATATGTATATGTATACGTATACATCTACGTAAACGTAAGCGTATACGTATGCGTATGTGTATGTATATGTATCTATATGTATATGTATATGTGTATACTTGTATATGTGTATATGTGTATATGTGTATTTGTGTATATGTGTATATGTGTATATGTATGTATGTATGTATATATGTATGTATGTATATATGTATATATGTATATATGTAAATATGTATAAATGCACAAATGTATAAATGTATATATGTATATGTGTATATATGTATATATGTATATATGTATATATGTATATATGCATATATGTATATATGTTTATATATGTATATAAGTATATATGTGAATATGTGAATATGTGTATATGTATTTATGTATATTATATATATATGCATATATAATATATGTATATATGTATATATATATATATGTACATGTACATGTATATGATTATGTATATGTAAATGTATATGTATATGTAAATGTAAATGTAAATGTATGAATATGCATATGTGTATATGTATAAATATGTATATGTGTATATGTAGATATGTATACATATGTATATATATGTATATGTATATGTATATATATATATATGTAATATATATATATGTATAATATATATATATGTATATATATGTATATATATATACGTATATATATATACGTATATATATATATATGTATGTGTATATATGTATGCATGTATGTA